TACCTCCCCGCCAACAACTCCCTTTATCGTAAGTGTCTGGCCTGTACACAAACTGTTGACTTCCTATTTAAGTTAGTTCCTCATTGACGTGGCAAAATATTGACAGATGGTCATTTATGGAGTTGATATTACTTCTTGCGGTATTTTATTCTCTTGAAAATGAAAATTTCTCATTTAACTCATATTCGAGACTGTTAGTTTCGCAAAGCGCCAATTGTGTTAATTGACGCGTATTCGAATTTTCGCTCCCTAAGTTCTACGGTCTCGTAGATTTTAAGACTTTTTAAAAATTACTTTTTAAGTCGCAGTTACAAGGGGTGGTGAAACGTCACTGCGTGTTAGGTAGGGAGAAGTTACGTTTCAAGGTTTTGTATTTGTTATGAAATAATTCAATTTTCCGATAGACAGCTGCACCAAAAATATATAATAAATATGGACCCCACACACACACACACACCATCACCACCCCCACCCCACCCCCACACCCCTCTCCCGGTCAGAAGAAATATAACTCAGTACTCCATACTTTGTTGTAATTTCAAGGATGTTCTAATCTGTGTCATGTTAAGAATCACATAAGTCAAATTGAGCGAGTCCGTGATATGCTTTCCGAGTTCGAAATAATTTGTATACTCATGGTATATTGAGGCATTTTCAGGAATTTTCCCGACTGACCATGCGGCTTCACACGACAAACTTAGTTTGACGATTTGTGTTTACAAACATAGGTTTTTGTGAGTGAACATTGCAAAAAGGTTTGCAAACTAGTTTATGAAGTTTGACAAAATGTTGGCGAGAAATAGAGTCGGTCTCTATTCTCACCAATATGTTGGCCACACAGCTCGTGTCACGGTAGACTACCTTCATAATGCCAATATCAACGCCTTGCCGTGGACGTCGAGATCTCCTGAACACTTCTGGGATAAACTCTATCGACGTGTACGTCAACGTCAGAACACGCCGCAGACACTCCCTCAACTGGCCAACGCGTTACAAGCAGAATGGTGCAGAATTCCGAAGGACAGAATTCGTACACTTATCCAGTAAGTGCCGAGGAGATGCAGAGCCGTGATTGCTGCCCGGGGCGGTCACACGATATACTGAGTTCAGCGCAACCTTGTGGCCTTATGTGACATGACAATGAACAGTTTTCAATGCCTTTGTACAACGACAACATGTGACTATCGAGCTCCAAACTTTCATATTTGTATCTATGACATTAAATTACTTGTATCGACTTTATTAGGTACAATACATTTACTAAAAATCTACCCGTGCCTTTCTTTTTTTGAAGAGTGTGTGTACATTTTACAGCCAAAACCTGTTTTTTATTCTCAAACGAAGAAAAAGTATTTTAGACGGCTAGTGACTATATACTCCTTTTACCCTAATATATTTATGCTGTATATACCGTGACAAATTTTAAGTCTCTCTTAACCCTTAATGAGTGGCTTACTTGTATGTACTGTTATATGTATCTATGTAAATAGTTTTTTTTAGGATATACTCAAATAATCAATCTGTCTTGTTTCAGTTTCAAATTTTTGCAATTATTTTTATTGATCTAGAACGTTGTTCATCACTATCGGGTCGATTTCGACTAGGCCGACGAGTGAATGAGGCCGTTTATCGCTTGACTAACACTAATTTCTGATTCACATAATGTTTTCATTGTAAGTGTGATTTCGTATTGATGTTTTAAATAGTATTTATTATGAAACAGTCTGCGTATGAAATAATCAATAACACTTGCATTAATTTTGTTTTGACGAAAAAACACTGACAATTTCATCGGGATTATTTTTATCGGTAAATAAAATTCACGGATAATTCTCAATTAACTGTTAATATATATTTTGAAATATTTTGACTTGTACTTTACAATGATATGAATTGTGGGATATCTAGATTTCAAACAAGGGCACTTGACACATTCGGGTGTTAGAAAGTAGCCAACTTAGAATAGCAGCACTTTCTTTTTTTTCTTGTATATTGATGCTGTTGGAAAGGCAATAAACTCAAGTCGTGTGAGGAAATAAAAACGTTGTAATAAACCATTTTATCATATAATGGGTAGGTTTCTTGGCAGGATAAGTCAACGGATAAAAACGATATCCGTTGGGGTCATATGCGGATAGAGATGCAAATATCAAAGGTCAAGTAGGGACTACTTTCACTGTTTATAAACAAACATGGCGTCGCCCTCGTCATTCGGCGATCGAGTCAGAATTAACCATCGGGAATCTGGATAAACTACAGGGATAAATGCTATCATCATCAAAAGAACAGTCTAATATACTGAAAATCATAGTCTAAATGTGACGTAGCTAAGGCATTTTATAAGTTTTGGCAACTTTGGCGATATAAATTTCGAAACAATTTTACGAGGGCACGAGGCCTAGCCAAGCGGGATCAGTAGCCATATCTGTGCTTGTAGACCTCTGCGGCTTGAAACCTTCTCCACAAATTAAAATAGTTGGATTTGGCCGAAATATGTTTGAATTGTTACCTTGTTTCGTTTTGTCGCTGTGTGTACATCTGACTACACTTCTTAACGTTATGACAGGACAGACCGACTGTCAACAACGTCTGACCGTGGTCGTGACGTCTCATAGACTAGGGTTAGAGTAGCTTCCCTTTGAAAAAGGGCAGTTACTCTAGCGGACAGACCGATGGATTGCCGCGAAAGGCCATTAAAAACAATTGTTGTTTTGCGTATATGTTGCTTCGACGCTGTATAAGATACAGATTTCAGTTGCAACTATATTGGCTACTGTCACTGTCCGACTGACACATCACATACCCTGTGACGTAATAAATATTAATGCGCGCATTCCAGGAAAACTTGCAATGTTTCGGTAATGTTTGTGAGAGAGGGAAAGCGATTTTGAAGCACAGAATTAAAGAATGACATTATATGATAAAGAGGTCATCACGCTTGTGTGGGGGATGGTAAATATTCTAAATGGTAAATATCATTTATTCGGAATAAACACTATGTATTTAGCTCGCCAAGGCTCGCTAAATACAATGTTTATTCCTAATGCAGGATATTTACCATTCCCAAACACACTCGCGTGATAACCTCTATATACTTGCAATTGTGCCATGGATTTAACAACTTGAATCCCTCGATAACGATGTGTGTTCGAATTTTTTTAATTTCATAATTCAGTAGTCAATAAAATGGATGCATTTATTAGGAGTATGCAATTAAAAAGACAAACATTTTATCCTGTTTTATCATTTATATTATCAAGCTTACGTTAAGAACCTTGATTGTTTATTGAAGAGGATCTTTCTATACGACAAAAATGTTTTGTATTGTTCATATAGACAAGGATGCCGGAGACAAAATACATCTTTTAATGTAAAGGTACCAGTTGGTCGTAATACGCATGTGATATTGAAAAAAAAAGCATAATTTCATTATTTTGGACAATATTTGAGTTGTCATACATTCCCTTTCTTCAACATACAAACATAGTAATTATGTTTACAAGTCGCATTCTAGTCAATATATTGTAGTATTCGTCTTCAAACGTTGAGTCCTCTGAACTCGCCTCCATCGGAAGCTTGGCCAGAGCATGCGTGTGGCAGTAGAAGCAGATTGCGATCGCCGTTATGCTGTGAATAATGATGAAAGGTGCCCGATGAAGCGAACATAAAATATTGCTTTCCCTGCGTGTTCTCAAGCGTCGCTGTACTCACTTTATGCTGTGAACATGTGCGTCTGAAGGATGTTGTCCTTTCATGATACTTCTAAACAATTTTAAAGACTTAAATAGACAGTTTTCATAATTACTACAGTCCATACGTAACAATGAAGTCTTTTTTTTCACTCATATAGCACACACAAAAAAAATCATGCATTTGTTTTTCACAAGCTGTTTATCTTTGCTGATCCTCCTGAACGGGACCCGTGAAGATTCCGGGGTAGAATAGGTCTTCAACAACCCATGCTTGCCGAAAAGGTGACTATGCTTGACGTAAAAGGCGACTAACGGGATCGGGTTGTAAGGCTCGCTGACTTGATTGATGCATGTCATCGATCCCAATTGCGTGGATCGATGCTCATGATATTAATCACTGGATTGTCTGGTCCAGACTCGATTATTTACAGACCGCCATCATGTAGCTGGAATATTGCTGAGTGCGGCGTTAAACAACAAACCAACCAACCAACCAACCTAAACGGTGCTCGACCATGTGGTCCCTTTACCGGTAGCCTTTCCCATATAAATTTAAATTCGTTTTTGAAACCGCGACGTCATCGCAGTGCGTCACTGAGCGGTATACAAAGCCATCTGACGGCCAGGCACCATGAAGCTTTAGTAAAATGATAGACTTATGAACACAAACAATCAGTAAATTGCATTCATAACTCCTCAACAGACACACAATACATGGATCGATCCTAACCAGACAATCCAGTGATCTATACCATGAGCATCGATCCTCGCAATTGGGATACGATGACGTGCATCAACCACATCAGCAAGCCTGACCCCCCGATCCCGTTAGTCGCCTTACGACAAGCATCGTCGCCTTTTACGACAAGAATGGGTTTCTGAAGATCTATTCTACCCCGGATCTTCACGGGTATTTTGTATTTTGAGAAACACCTTGCAACAATGGAATTTTTGCGGCAGGCAATTTCATTTTTTCCCCAACAGTCTGAAGCATATTTTTCATTTCATAATGTTTCGGAGACAATTTTTAAAAATAAAATTCCTTTTATATGAAGAAAGGCGTTTAGTGTTCTGTGTGAGATGCGGGGTATATCTACTAGACTGACAGTTTCAAATTTTAGTTGAAAAAGGAAAAAATATTTGCCTGATTTTCTGTTGCGTCAAAGGAAGGGTGTTGTAAAGACATGGGCGAGCGTACTGGGCGTGTCGTTGGGAGAGATATTTAAGGACACCCACAACATTCCCCTCTACGATAACCCACCCACTCATCCTCCCACCATGACACAGCGTTATAGCAGACGTGTCACGTGATAGAATCAGACGTGTCACGTGATAGAACTTACTATTTGAAGTGCGCCAGGCAGAGGTATGTACCTTGTAGTATCGTATACTTAACACACATCTATTTGGAGGGATTTGCCTTTGTTAGCGTGATGTGGATTTATATTTAGCTGTCCAAAGCATCAATTAAGCCTCATTGATCGTAAACTGAGGTTACCGGGTGAATAATTTGCTTAACCAAATATAGGTCAGGGTTGTGTGTATCACAAGAATTAGACATAGATTGGGAGTCTGTTGTTTTAAAGATGAAAAAACTATTTACACACCTGCATTTACAGTGCATGTCGTGAAAACGTAGATCTATGGTGCACGATATACACGAATGGCACTTGGTGTGCCGAGGAAGTAATAAAGGGACACAACTCTTGGTGTTTTACACAACCTGTAAAATTAGTGTGAAGACTGCAATGAGTCAGTTCAATTCAATGTTGTTGTATTTTCTGGTTTGTATATTTCTTATGTTCATCTTCGTCAACACTTCGTCTGTCGCATGGAATTTGACCCCAACAGAACAAACAACAAGTCTCCCCTAGCATTATAACTTTAGAGTGTACTTCAGGTATTTTGATTTTCATGTGTCGACGTCCTATCCCTCGTCGTGTTTCGCTACAAAGTTCAGAAAGACCATGTACGTTTAGGCATTTTTTTATTACTTGGAATACGAACCCACCATCCTAAATTTTACAAATCTGGAATAACTTTAAGATTTTGAGAAATGTCGTTAAATACCCACCAAGTTTGTTAGTGTGTTCAACTAAAATTAAATCACCGGGCGCTTATTACGTCGAATACGGTAATTGCATCTTTATGTACCACCGCGGTACATGACCGTTCTCTTTTGAGAAATTAATGAGAGTTGAGAAAGTGTGAAAATGAGCCATTCTCAAGGTAATCACTCACTGCACAAAGTTACGGATCATGAAAAAATTGGGGGACATATTTTTGTAGTGCAGACACAATTTCATATGGAGTTTCAATGTCAGGGGTCAAGTTCGCTAACCTTTTTGGTTTACTGTATTAAGTGGGTGTTTGAATAATTTAAATGACACACACACACACACACCCTCCCTCCACATATCAATGTTGTTACGTGTCGATTCCCAAATTGGAACAATATGTTAACCCGGAAATCAATACGTATGAGAACCTAGTGTGAACAACAAACAACCAACAAGTAATATACAATCAACAAATATATTACGAAAAATAACTAGGTTTACAGATCAATTCAAATTACTGCACAGCATTTACAATGGCAGTACACACTAAAGTGGTAGTACAATATTCAATGTCTATACACAGTATGATGGCTATGGAATACTGTAAGGGACATTCTCGCGATCTCGCATTCTCGCGATCTCGACCTTTGGAAACGAGGTAAATATACCCAAAACACGAGAATGCGAGATCGCGAGAACGCGAGATTTGGCCAAAATCTCGCGTTCTCGCGATCTCGCATTCTCGTGTTTTTGGTACATAGCACTTTTTGTCAAAAGTCGACAACGCGAGAATGCGACATTTGGACATGATGCAAAATCTCGCAATCTCGCAATCTCGACTTGTCAAATTAGGCCACAAAAACACGAAATCGCGAGAACGCGAGAATGCGACATTTCATTTTCTCGCGATCTCGCGTTCTCGTGTTCTCGCGTTTTAGACGCTGTCCGTGCGCATGTGTAATATCATGAGGCCAAGCGCATGCGCACGTTAGTAGTCCTTTGGTCATGCTTCTTTCGTGCTCTTCATTCTCCAAGTAGCATTTAGCAAACTTATGACTTGAGCTTGAAAATGCTATGTAATTTACATACACAAAGTCTGAGTCATCTCCCGTTGTTACAGTTTCCTATGTACTTTATAATAAAACCCTAAACATGCTCAATATAATTTAACAAAAGAAATTGTGTCTATGAATGTCAAATGATGGTGAAAACATAAATGTGTCCGAAAGCTGGAAACAAAACTATTACCGTCAGTGAGTGAGTAATATTGCTTAAAGCCGCATCAGCAGTATTGCAGTTATTCGCGGCTACACTGTCAGTTACAGAAATAATCACAAGCCTGTGAGTTTCTCAATGAGGCAATTTTATACACGGCTAGAATATTCATTAAAATAAAATTCTCACAGACCAATTTGTAGCATTCGGATAAAATGATATTGTCCGATGTTTTTTTTGTTTTTTTTTATACGATACCATATTCGCTACTTTAATTAATTGATTTTCATCCGCTGCCGCCTGACAACAAAACATCCTGCCTTACATTATTCTAATGCCCTCAAATTCCTAGAAATAGAAGTATCGTTAATATGAGTGTTCCTACTTTCTTTACCTGATAAAATACTCCGTACATGTAGCCCTACTGAGCACACATGCATGCGAATCGCATCCGCCGACAGCAATTGTACACATATGCCTAAAGTAGGTCGATAAGAACAAAATAAAAAGGTTAAAACTAAAATGCCTCCTGTCTCCCATGTTTTTAAAAAAACAATCAAACTGTAACTATTAATTTTATTGCGGCCTTAACATTCAAATGACAGGCATTCTTATACTGGAAAAGTACCCCCAATATCCAGCCTGGGGGACCGGCATGACTCTGAATAAGTGAGTGAGTTTGGCTTAACACTGCTTTGAACAGTGTGTATATTTTAGTTATACCCCGGCTTGTCGGTTTAAAGGGGCACTAATCTTCTTCTCGGCTGTCTAACACTGCCAGCTGGGGCTCACCATCTGCCGATTTGCTCACTGACGCAACTGAGCGTGACAAGAGACTGGACTACTGTGTTCAAGAACATTGGTTGGTTACCTGTAATCTCTGAATCTCAGACAAAGGGCGCATGTTAATTAATTTCTTCAGCCTAAACAAACGGACAAAAAGAACGATGGAAGCTCATCGGATGTCGTTATTTGGAAATACCCCAGATGGTTATAAACTGAGGGCCAAAAGAAACGTTACCAACATTAACTGATTTGCCACTTTGAAACAAAGATGCCAACCTGTTCAAAAACAGTAAAGAACACATTTCACGAATACAGCCTTCATGTTCTCTGTCGTTCTTTGCACGTGCTTTGCGGATTTTGGGAAATATTGGTGTTTTTCAGCAATTTTTTAAAACAATCTTCCCCAAATTATCGTGCAATTTCCGGGTTGAATTACGCAGGGATCTGTTCCCTATCAATGGTTGCGATGATTAACACCAACGAACATGCCAAGAGAGAGCCATAGGTATGCTGCAGATGGGAGCGACACAGAGAGCGGTTGCCATTAACATGAACTGCTCCAAGATGACCATTACCAGACTGGTCGCACGTCTCCGACAGACTGGCAGAACCGCAGACAGACCACGGAGTGGCAGACCAAAGGTCACGACCCCGCAGGATGACCGCTTTTTACGGGTACGTCATCTGAGGAACAGATTTCTTACTGTGACGTTATCAGATGCCAACTGCTTAGGACATCCGGTCAGCAGACAAACAGTGACCAGACGACTACGACATTATGGTCTCCGGGCTTATCGCCCTTTCAAGGGCATGACCTTGACCCGTCAACATCGACGTGCCAGATTGACGTGGTGTAGGCAAACTCAGCGATGGCAACAAAGGGAATGGCGGCGAGTGCTGTTCAGTGACGAGAGCAGGTTGCAACTCTTCAAACCTGATGGGCGGACGCGAGTTCATCGACGACGGGGTGAACGTACGGCTCCTTGTTGTGTCCAGGAGGTGGAACCTTTAGGGGGCGGAAGTGTGATGGTCTGGGACGACATTTGCGGGGACGAGAAGACGGAACTTGTCATCATCGAAGGCAATCTGACAGCACAACGCTACACTGACAATATCTTACGGCCAGTGGTTCTTCCTTTCATCCAGCGTAAACAACGGACGGTGTTCCAACAAGATAACGCCACACCCCATAAAGCCCGTATTACTAGAGACTTCTCAACGCCAACAACGTGACAGTCCTGCCGTGGACAGCTCGATCACCAGATCTGTCACCCACAGAACATCTCTGGGACCAGCTGGGGCGTCGTCTTCGGAAACGTCAACATCCTCCCATCACGAGACAAGCGTTGATCGTTGCCCTCCGTGAGGAATGGAATCTGAAACCTGCAGTCGATGTGAGGACCCTTGTCTACTCAGTGCAACGCCGCATTCGAAGATGCATTGCCGTTCATTGAGGTCATATCCCGTATTGAACGGTCTGGGCCGTCGTCACCTTAAAGTTGTAACCAATGTTGTTGATCGAATACTGGACGAATGACCCCTTGTCAAGAAATGTCCCTGTTGGAGGTCAAGGACTTTGTTGTTGAATTAGTAAATTCGCATTTTACTGTTCTGAATGATGTATTTCTACAATACAATAATTGTTATCGCTGCTTCAATTTGTTTTGGTCATATTTTATCCTAGAAATATCGTTGGTAACGTTTCTTTTGGCCGTCAGTTTATTTTTATAGTATCCCAGCTGTGAAAGCATTTTCGGGTTTTGGATTGCGCGGATAATACGATTGCTATCTCTTGTTGTCATCCACGTTTTGGGGCATAACCCTACACCTGTGTCTTTGTTGCCATTCACTAGAAGCTCAGTTAATGAATCTATTACAGGTATAGTTAGTAGTAGCACTGCTCAGATTACCTGACAACGGTTCCCATTTGGCATGTCTTGTGTCTGGGGTAATTATTTCATCTGAATCCAGGTTTGAATTGAGGTGAAATGTATGTTATGTAATATTCACGTGGCAGCCCAGCAAGAGGAGTGATCAGTTCATTTACTTTTTTGTACACGGATCATTCCTCGCCATCAAAAGTTCCACAGAAAATACGTTCATTGATTAATCACTGTTATCTTGCACAGTGGATTTGTAAGTGTTTACATGTGTAGGTTTACTAAAGCAGACGGAATACACTCATATCATGGCGTGAAGTGCCGATGTAAAAACAACATACTTGGTTCAAAGGATTAGCCGATAATACGTTTATTGATTGTTCATCAACTCCATGGATATTTTTAAAGCACCATGGACATCATGA